TATGCCTCAACCAACTTAATCTTTTATTAAAAACTTCATCAACAACCCTCTCACACCAGGCACTATGCTGGAAACATCAAAAACACCCTAACTTTCCACAGGCAAGGCAGTGGGACAAGGTCACTCTCAATGTTCTGCCACTGCAAGATGTGACTATTCAAAAAGAGATCCAAGGAAGAGGACCACAGCTCCTGCTACAGAGAAAGGCAACAAAACAAAACAGAACAACCAACCTGGCTTCTGGGTTCCAGCCCCTTATCTTGCCCCCTGGGGCCTTTATCTGTGCTCTGCTCAGGCTCTGGGTCCCCTGGCCCCACGCTCTGCCCATCTCTGGGCTGGCTCTATGCTCCTTCTCAGGCTCAGGGATTCCCTGGCTCCTGTCAGTGCCTTGAGCCTGGCTCCTGGCACGGCTCAAGGCAATCATGTGCCAGGCAGTCATCAGTAGCAACCATCTCACAACAAAGTCTCTTCGCCCGGCTACTTCCCAGGTCTAACTCCTTGCTCTGCCTCTGACCCTGGTTTATATACTACTAAAGCCCTGCCCCTTCCTGGTCATGTGACTCCCCTGTCAGCTGACTTGGCCACAGGGCTGTTCCTTAATTCCCGTTCTGCTGGTTGCTTCTGCCTGTGCTACAAAAACCTTGCCCTTAAAGAAGCCACACCACTTTCAAGTAACAGGCCAAGGGTTCCCTGTTACAAGAGTTTTCTGTGCTGTTACGATCAAGGGTCAGCCATCTCACTGAGCCACACACCCTCTAGCTTGTTACCTTTCTCCTGGCTGTACATATGTCCCTTTCCTGGTTCTGGTAATGCTTCCCCCAGGGCCTGGTGATTAGAAAGCTATGCTGACAAGTCACAGGGATATAGGTTTGCCAGCTGTGTGTGTTGTGGACTTACCTGCTCGAGCCCCAGCCCCAGCCCCAGCATGTCCCGGGCTCAAGAATTCTCGATTCCGATTGGTGGAGCCCATGCACCAATCAGGGAAGAGCTGGGAGGAGCCGGCACCACCCCTTTCCTGAAGGGAGGGGGCGAGAAGCCCCCGGATTGAGTTCGGACCTGCAAGCTGCAGGTCTGCTGGACTTCAGGGGATGGCGCCCCCTGAGGGTATAAAAGGAGCGGCATAAGCTGCATGGGGGATGTGGCGAGGGACTGTTGGAGAGGGAAGAGCCAAAAGAGGGCCTCCATCAGGATCCCTTCTTTGCCCAGTTGTATGCAGATCGGCGCACAGGACCAAGACTCTGGGAGCTGCGTCAAGGCGGCTTTAGCCTGCATCCCCAGCAGGGGCCTGGATGGAGAGCCGGCCCTGAAACCAGCTTGAGACTTCTTGGGGCCCACCTGGTGTGCAGCCTGGCACACGGTGAGCCGGACCTGGGAGCAGCTCAAGTCTGCTCAGGTCTCACCCAGTGTATAGACCAGCACACGGAAAGCCAGTTCTAGGAGCAGCTCAAGGCTGCTTGGGTTAGCCCCGGCATAGGCCAGATAGCTGGAGCCCTGCAGTGTGGCCTGGCCAAGGAACTAAAAGAGCCCCAGAGCCTAGAGCAGGGCCTGGGAAAGGGAAGGCCCAGGTGTAAGCCTGGGTAAACACAGCCAGCATCTGCTGGACTCCTCCCCCTGAGAACTGGAAGAACCCTCAGTGTAAAAGCGGGGCACAGGGCCAGGAGGGGAGATCTTGGCATGAGGCAGATGGCACCAGGGGGACTCTGACTGAGTAGAGGACCCTGAGGCCCGGCTGATGGCTCCTTGGAGAGGACTGTGAGTCGCTAGCGGAATCGGATCAAGCAGGGAAGTCATTCCTGAAATACGCCCTCTCCCCCCAACTCCCCAGAGGGAAGCCCTGGGTGAAAAGTGCCCTCCTAGCTAGACCCATAGGAGACGAGGCACCCCTTGCTAACTGGAATCCATGGGTAGACGTGCCTTATACCATGTAAAGCTGCGCATTATATTTTGTAAGACTGTTATCATAATTTTGGATATGTTGTACAATATGTGATGGGATTGTACAATTGGCTTCTCATTGGTGTGATGTCTGCTCACACCTTCTTCCCTCCCTGCCCCCTCTTTTTTTTTCTACCTGGTTGTATTCTGCCAATGGTTCCTCTGGGTTCCCTGTAAACTACCTGTTGACCCTAACTTACCTGGTTCACCCATCTGGGTATCCACCCTTCCTCCTTGCATGGGCATCCTGAGGACTCACCAGTTGCAGCAGGCCTCTGTAGGGCGCAGGGTTGAGCAGGCCATCCCCGAGGTGGGTTGGCCATTGGGACAACCAGTCCCAGGAGGTGGTTCCTAGATGACCATATTGTAAATATTTATCTGTGTACCTTTAGTGTTGTTGAGTGATTCCCAAGTATTGGGAATACTTACCGAAAGTTTTCCTTTATTTGTTGGCTGCTACTTACTGAAATCCTTCCCTGTTTATATTGGATAAGAATAGTATGCATATGTAACCCTGGGCATGACACTACCCATGCCTTCACCTGAAGAGTGGGATCCTGGGGTATTCGGTAGCCAGTGTCCCTGCCCAGCAAACTGAGTAGCTGCTGCAGGGTCCCTGAGCGGAAAGCTTCCCCTTACAATCAGCCTTGCAGACCTTTATAAAACTATTTACAGGATTTAATTATTTACAAGGTAACATATAACCAATACAATAAAACAAATGTTACACCGCATGACCTGGTGATGGTAGCTTAAGGGTTAATGCTTCTTGGACACACATTACACTAGGGGAAGGTATACACATTACCCATGATAAATAAGGAACCAATAGAGAAATACATTGATACTGCAACTAATAAACCATCAAGAACTTAGTCACGCAGTCTATAACTCGTACACTGTGTACTGAGGACCCTTGGCTGGGTGTGCGCCTGGCACAGGACTGTGTCTCTGCCCCTGCACAGGCTCTGTGGGCACTCCCTGGTGCTGGCGTCCCTGGCATGAGGTTTCAGTGCAGCAGGCAGTGGCTCCTCTCCTGCCGCCCATGCAAGAAAGCTGATTCCTTCCCAGACCCCT